CTGGCGGGGGGTGCCACGCGCACGGCTTCCCCCCGGGGCCCGCAGGCGACCAGAGGAGGAGGAGGAGGAGGAGGAGGAGGAGGAGGAGGAGGAGGAGGAGGAGGAGGAGGAGGAGGACGGGTCGCCTAGGCCCCTCGGAGAAACCCTCCAGGGGGTCCCACGAGCGCGTGGTGACAGACCGCGAGGTGGCCTCGGAATCTCAGGAGACCTCGCCGCGCGGTCAGTCATCGCACGGTGCCGGGGCCTCGGCCGGGACGTCCTCGGGGAACGGCCCGAGTCCCAGAACCGTGCGGTGACCCCGGGTCCCCACTGACTCACCACGCGATGTGGTCACCACACCAGTTGGGGCCCGCCGATGATGGCAGAGGCGGGCGCTGGGGGTGGGGCGATGACCCTGACCTCCATCCCACCTCTCGATCAACATCCACAGATCCTGTCCGCGTGTGCGAGACGCTGTCGTCGTCGTCGTCGTCGTCGTCGTCGTCGTCGTCGTCGTCATCGTCGTCGTCATAGTCATCGTCGTCGTCGGCGTCGTCGTCGGCGTCGCTGCCCCCTCCCTTTCCAGCGGGCCAGCTCCCCTGCAGGGCCAGCGACGATAGAGGATCGAGGATCGAGATCGCTCGCTTTGGCCACGACGCCCTCCTCCTCCTCCTCCTCCTGCGCGCCAGCTGCCCCCCCCTATCCCTGGGCCGTGCTCCTCGACCGCGCCTGCTCCCAAGGGGGCATATGGAGGAGCGCCATATACCCTCGAATCGAGGGGGAGCCTCTTTCCTTGGATCCTTTCTCCGCCGCGGGGGGGTGGGGGTGGGGGCGCGCCGGCCCAAGGGGACGTGGAGAAACGTCATGACCTCGAGTCAACGGGGCGCCCCTTCCCTCTGATCCCTTCCCCGCGGCGGGGGGGTCCCGAGTCAGAATGCGCTCCCTCCCCGTTCCCTCTTCAAACCATCTCGGCCCCACCTTGCGTTCAAGACGGTCCAACAGGGCCCTCAGAAGGCCAAAGGTCACTCCAAGACGGCCCACGATGCCCTCAAGAAACTATTGAAACCCCAGCCCCAAGAGGGCTATCAGAAGACCCCCAAGAGGGCGCCAACAGGCCAAACTCATTGATTTTCACTACATGTTCATATGTTTTTGTCGGTCTAGCCTCTTCGGGCTCTAGACGCTCCACATAACTCAGGAGGTCCCCAAGACCGCAAGGCCGCACGGCCGTCGGAATCAAGACCCACAGCTCGCGTCGTTTTTGGGCTCTGGGGGCGCTCCACGGGCACTGGAGGTTGTCGAACAACGGCACAGGACGAAAAAAACAGCGCTGGGGAAGACTGGAGTTCTGGGGAGTCAGTGTTAAAACAAATCAGGAGGTCGGCTCCCTGGAGACGCTCAGGAGTTTGTTTTCCACCCCTCCCCAACCTCAGGAGCACAAATTCTGGGTGAGAAGAAAATGAAGGCAAAAAGACTGAGGGGGGATGCCACAGCAAGAGTGCGGCAAATTCGTGTCGCGACGGCTTGCGTGCTGGTTTCTGACACCACGGGGATCTCTCAACCTTGAACAATCGCGGCTCTCTGATGGCGCGGTACCGTCGGCGTCGGCTGATTCTGGGCCAGTGGCGGCATTCAACCGTTACCCCAGGGGGCCATGGTCGTGGCTGCTTCGACGCCGCACGAAACCAGTGTGCGCTGAGGTCGAATGGGGGGGAGGTGAGGGATCATGCGGGCAAGGAGCAGGGACCGAAGCGGGAAAGGTGAAGATCCGCCACCGTGCCTCTGGGCATGGAGTGGGCGTGTCCATCCCTGCAGCCCCAGTCCTCAATCCTGAGGACAGGGACCAGCAGATCCAGAAGCTCTTGGGGCTTGTCGCGCGCCCCCTGGGCTTGCCAAGCGGTGGCGCAGGAATTGCTCGGGCCGAGGAGGCCCGAGGACGGGCCAGGAGGGCCCCGAGAGGCGCCGATGACCGCCCAAGATGGCCCCGAGTCGCCGAAAGATTGGCTCAAGACGCCCAAGATGGCCCCCAGACGGCCCAATAGTTCTCCAAGACGCCTCACGGAGCCTCCAAGAGGCCACCCAAGAGGGGCCCAAGAGGCACAACTCATTGACTTTCCTTAGATTATTGAAGGCTGTTGACGTTCTCGCCTGTTCTGCTTTCCGACGCTCCAAGACGGCCCAAGAGACCCCCAAGACCACCCCAAAACTGCCCAAGAATCCTCCAATAGGGCACCAAGACTGCCTAAGAGCGCCCCAAGACGGCCGTTCCTGAGCCTTGGCTGGGCCTTGGTGTCAGGAACTTGTTACGTCACCGCTCGCTGCTGGGAGCCTTGGTCTTATCAGCTTGTTGTGGGCGCCCAGCGCCATCGAAAGCGCGCGCGCTCGCTTGTGCTGCGTTGTGCGCGGGCACAAATTTCGCGCCCGCGCCTGGCCCGCGCGCGGGCGGGCAAGCTGGGCGCGCGGGCCGCCTCCCGCTTCCCTGCGCCGCGCGGCGCGCGGCCCCGCGAGAAGGGCCCGCGCGCGCGAGGCGGGGGGGCGTCAGCATGTGCCTCGCGGCGCGCGGCCCCACGCGAAGGGCCTGCGCGCGCGAGGGGGGGGGGGGGGGGGCGACGGCGCGCGCCTCGCGGCGCGCGGCCCCGCGCGAAGGGCCCGCGCGCGAGGGGGGTGCGTCGTCGCGCGCGTGGCTAGTCTGCTCTTCTGCTCGCTTTGCGTCGAACGCCCCGTGCAGGCGCGCCGCGGGGATCGCGTCGGGGCGGTTCGCGGCGCGCCTCGGGGTCGTGCGATGTGCAGGCATTGGCGCTTGCATCTCGCAGGCATGTGCGCTTGCGTCCCGCCGTGGCGGACGGCGCGCGCGCTTTCGCGCGAGGCCATGGGGGCGAAGGCGACGTCCAAGCGCGTCGTGCCGACGCTCAGCCAATGGCACCTCGCGTGGAGTCGCTACGCGGTCGGTGCCCACGCCACCGGCCAGCTGAGCTACGCCGCGGCCGCAGCCCATCGCGACGTCTGCATGGCGGTGGGCCTCGGGGCGGCCCGCAACAAGCGGCGGGTGCAGCTCGCGGTCTATTATGACGAGCAAGCCCGCAAAGATTGGGCGGAACGCTCGCGCTCTGGCGACCCGACCTTCGTGGCCCGCGCGCGTTTTCTTGCGAATCTGTTTCCGCGCCGCGTTGGCCGCGCCGGTTGCGCGCAGGCAGATCGCGCGGCGAAGCGCGTGGACACCGCCATTCTCAATCGCGCAGAGGAGGCTTACGATGCCGACGAAGCCGCAGCCAAGGCGGCGCCGGCTGAGTCGTCGGCAAAGGGCGGCACCAAGAGCGCCCAGGCCCCCTCGTCGCGTCGGCTCGCGCGGGGCAGCAGCCCCCACTCCCCACCTATTCTTTCGCGCGGCGCGCTCGCAGGTGGCGACGGGCAAAGCCGCCGCGGGGAAGGGCCACGGCTCCGCGAGCGGTGGCAAGAGCGCGCAATGGTCGGGAAAGCGCTGGAACAGCTGGGGCTCGGCGGGCGATTACCATGGGCACAGCTGGGGCGCAGCGGATCGCGGCGGGGAGGTGAATCGCAAGCCGCGCACGCCCCCCAGGGCCGTCAAGAGGGCCCGCCCATAGCGCCGCAGCTCCAGGGCGCAAGGGGGCCGCGGGCGCGCGGAGCACGCGGTGGCGCGCGGGCTCGCGCGGTGTCAAGAGTGACAGCGCGGGGGCCGAACACTTGTCGGCGCGCGGTGCATGCGAATTTAGCCGAACAGTAGTCGGCGCGATGCCTTCTCACTCTTCGCAACCAACGCAAAGCAATGCGGCGCGATGCTTGGGCCCGTCCGCGCCGAAATTGCGTCGACGACGCGTGCCGTGAGCAAGTCGATTTCGAGCCAGCCGTTGACGTCAGCGCAGGCGTCTGGGCCGCGGTGGAATGGGTGAACGCGCGCCAATCGGACCAGATTAATGCCGAACGCGAGCGCTTCATCTGCGACATTGAAGCTGAGGCGCGGGCGCTGCACGTGTCGGGCGAAGTAGCCCGCTGGCATGTAGGGGCCGATGCAGGCGTGCGCAAGGTGGCGACTGGCGTCAACGGCCCTTTAATAGAGGCGCTCGCCGCTCGCACCGATTTCCAGGACGCCGCGTGCATAGAATTCTTTCGCCGCGGCGCGCCAGCGGTGGGCCCGCTCCCAGTCTCGGGAAGCGGCGTGCCCGTGCAGCGTCCCGACGCGCAGCCGGTCTCTACCGTGCTAGGGGGCGCCGCTCAAGCCAACCGCGCGTTGCTGGCGTCCCTCAAAGAGGACGCTCATTCGGCGACGTTGCTGCAGCAGTCTTTCAAAGAAGCGCGCATGGGTCGCGTGACCCAGCCTGTCACGGCTGTGCAGGCCGACCTCAGTGCAAACGTCTTGTCGCCGCGCTTCGGGGTTGTGCAAACGCGGCCCAATGGCGACATACGCGTTCGGGCTGTTGACGATCTTACTCGCGCGAAAGTGAACGGGTGCACCTCGGCAGGCGAAAAGTTTCGCCCCGAGTCCATCGATGCGCTGTATCGCGTCGCCAGGGGCGTGGCGCAGGGCACGCGCGAACGCATCATGTTCTACAAAGCCGACATTGACTCGGCCTTCCGCAGGCTTCCCGCCATGCCGATGCATCGCCGGTTCCTGTTCTTCGTTTTCCTCGCGCAGGGCGTGGCCCATGTGGCAGGGCACCTAGCCATGCCCTTCGGCGCCGTCGCGCCCGTGCATGCGTGGGAGAGGGTCGGCGCGCTCATTTCGCACCTTGTGCGTCGCCTACTGTTCATTCCCATGCTGCGTTTCGTCGATGACCTCTTTGGCGCCGAGCGCGCGGCATGCGCCGAGCATGCGCTCGAGTGCATCGTGCGGCTCGTGCGCTGCATCCTCGGCCCCTCTGCAATCGCGGCGGACAAGGTCGCTGCGGGCATGCCGCTTGTCGTCCTGGGCCTTCAGGTCCGCGCAGACCACGGCGGTTTCTCGTGCACTCCGTCGCCCGACAAGGTCAAGAAGTGGCGCGGTCGCATTGGCGACGCGCTCTCCT